TTTATCAACAAATCCACAACGTGACTCAAAAGATTCTTCAGATGAAGAAACTTCAACAGGAATATTAACATCTTCTCCTCAATCAAAAATTACAAATACATTAATAAAAAGTTCACATACAGATGAATCAACATCACCATTTGATATATCTGTTGATTATTGGACTATTATTGGTAATAATGATAATCAAAAAGAAAAAAAAGATGGAATAAGAACAATAAAATCATCATTGAAATCTAATGTTCGTATATTAACTATAACAAGACAAGCAACAGTAAATTTTGATGGAAAAATCTCATCTCCTTTAACAATGACTTATGTTACAAGAGAGAAAAAACAAAAAAGTAAGTTTTTTGAAAATTTTTCTTTTCTTTTTATTTTACACATATCTTAAAGCATTTCATCATGCCATAAATAAGCATGAGGTTTAAGTTTACGCTGACCAGATATCATTGGCTTTTTATCTTTTGTTAACCCTGAGCTTGTTGATATACTTGATGTTTGTTTTTCAAATTGAAGTGAATTTTTATTACATAAATATCTTAGTAATATATAAATTAATGTTAGAATAAATGTAACTAAACTAGCAATTAATAGTGCTAATAAACCTAACATTAACATTCGTCCAAATAAAAACATTGATTTTTGCAATTTAGTCATTGGAAAATCACGACGACATGTATCATCATAAGCAGCATTTTCACGTTTAACAGGAAATTTATAAACCATACGTATTGCTCGTATATCATCGTGACAAAGCATACGAAATGTTGAAAAATGCATTACAGATTGCATATGTGGATTTGGTGGAACTGGTTTTTCAGCATTTGTTGTATGCTAGAAATGAAAGACTTTAAGATTTTTGTAGAATAAAAAATGCCATAGACGAATTCATTAGAAATCGGATCGATTTAATTTGGATAGAAATGCGAACTAATCTTAACTAAAATTCATACTCAAATAGATTCGTTAGTTTATTATGAATTTTAACATAAATCGATTTTGCAAGCAACAGGCATTGATTCGACTTATGGAAAACATCGATTATTAGATATTAGAAAGGATTTTTCTTTTGAATGAGTAGGTAACTACTGGTTGGAAAATTTTTAGATAAGATGTTTGTTCACTTTTGAGATACTTTCGACTAGTGAAAATTTATGATTTTGTACTCTTTTCGAATATAGGAGTAGTAATTTTGTTCACAAATAGTGAAATAATCTTTGAAAAGTCCAAAAACTTACTTTAGATGGAATTTGTAGGCCAACTTTGCTAGTGAACATGTTTGTTCATTTTGACCTGCTTGAAAGCATTCCGAACGAGCCAAAAAAACTATAGGTTGCCACTAGAATTTGAATATCGCCTTAGAAGTATTACATTTATTTTTGTTCAAGAATAGTGAGAGAGTTTTGGAAAGATCTCAAAAATTATTTTTTATGTTGACTCAATAGGTTTTTATTTATTTCGAACCTGCTAAAAACTGTGGAAGCCGGTCGTTGTGGAATACGGATATTTCTCTACTAAATGTGAAATTGGACTAAGCTGTAGCTTTTACCCCAAGTATCTTTTCAAGAGGTTCTTTCAACGTAAAACGGTAGTTGATTTCTGAAATATAAGTATTTAAAAGAAACAAAAATAAATCATTTGATAGGGTAGCTTCTGCTTTACATGCTGATGCATAAATAAAGATCACAATTTTTAGTTTTAAATCGTAATAATGAAAATAGAAAATTTTTCCTCCAAACAAATTTTTTTCGGATATTCAAAGATTATTTCACTACTCTTGAACAAAATTTCTAGTTATATATTCGAAAAAAACACAAACTTACAGCTTTTAACTCGTCAGAAATACGTCAAAAGTAAACAAACATCTTGTGTGAAAAGTGTCGAATCACTCATTAGTTTTCAATCTTTTCGATAACTTTAAATAGACAGATGAGATTTTCACGTATTCGAAAAAGACAACTATAGAATCAATTTACGTGAAATTTGATAATCAAGTTATCCTTTTAAACGATGGTGTCAGAATTCTTGTGTCGTAATATTTTGTTCTAAAGGAACGAGAACACATCCAAAACATTGTTTTCTAGTAAATCTTATATATATATATATACTGAGGTGTTGATATAACTTTGTTTATATATTTATCCGACACTGTTATGCGCTGTAAGTTTCAAGGAGCAGGGCCTCATGTTGTATTCCACTCGTGGGAATTCGAAACTATCTTTTAGCATCTTAACTTTAATTAGTAAAAAGAAAAAAGAAGGGATGCTTTTTAAAAATGTCGATGATAATCAATTCACATATGAATTAATAATTCTATTTTGGATCAAAGAGAAAAAACACAATTCTAATATACATAATTGAGTTTGTCAGCGAATTGACTATATGCTCACTAATTGTATTTTAAGTATGCATGTCAGGCAGGCTTCTCGTTTCTAAACGTTCCACTGACAAACGAACAAAAACGCCTTCCATATTACATTATATATATATATATATACTGAGATGTTTTGTGTATCTTTTTATTTGAGGATATGATGCATCCCGCATTCTCAGGAACGGAACACGGAAGTGACACTTCTACTTTCAAAAAGTTGAGACAATGGAGAAGAAAATGAATTTTTCTTTTCAAGTGTATTATGGAAATCTCAAGAAATTTAATTAAATAATAACGAACTTACATTCCAGTACATTTTTCGTTTGGCTAGTGATCATCAAAAGTAAAAGTCTCAAGTAAATTGAAGGTTTTCACAAACGAGGATAATTCATGCTCGAAGTCGATTTTTCTTTCTACAGAAGGTAGTCGATAACTGTGGAAAATAACTCGCTCAAGAAATTTGGTTTCTTCTATGTCAAAATACCATACAAGGTACCTGAAAATGAGTCCTGATATAATTAGTTATATAATACTTATTTGTGCTGTGCACAAGTCGATTGAAACAGTCAATGATCGTCACTTGATTATTGAATCCAACTGTTAATCATCATCAACAGTTTTCATCTACCCATTCAACATCCGACCATGCTATTTGTATATGATTTGACAGTGATTTTTTTAAGAGATTCAAAATGTTATAAAAATATCGAGGAAAAAAACACTGGCCACATAAAGAAACTCGAGAAAAACTATTCTCAATATATGATTTTTTGTCTGAGATTTAGTCAATTTCTATCAGAAAAATACGATTTGGACAAGAAGCAACATGATATTCTGCATGAACATCAAACAGTGAGTGGACTTACGTGCTTTTCAAAAATTATTGCAACTTCTTCTCGTCGCCAAATTTCAGTCCTGGGTCCCCCAAGGGTTGATTCAAAAAATAAATTTCACGAAAAGCTATTCGGACGACGGGAATGAAATTCTAATGTTACAAAACTATAATATAAATGTAAATAGTAGATGAATAAACAATAAAACAAAGTTTTTATAAAATTCATTCTTTGACCTAATCCTGAGAAGGATTTTTCGACGAAAGAAAAAGATTGTGAAAATTTTTGAAAAACAGAAATCTACTCAGTTTTTTCGATACTCGTTCAGAATATCATATTAGTTTTTATCGAAATCGTATTTTTCTAATAGAAATCGACTAAATATCAGGCAAAAAATCATATATCAAGAATAGTCTGCGTGTAGTTTTTTTTGTGGTCAATGTTTTTTCCTTGATCTATTTATATCATTTTGAATCACTTGAAAAAATACTATCGAACCATATAAAATGCACCCTATTTAGCGATAAGATTGATTGTCATTGACACATATTTTCAATTGGCAGTATTGGTACTGGAAGCATATCACAGCAATGTACTCCATGTGAGGTCATATTGGACAGTGCTTCTTCGATGATATTTTAATACCGTTTTGAAGCTGTCGAAAAATGCTATCAAATCATATCAATACTAGTCTAGTTGGTCTTCGGATTGGTAGATAAAAGAGCTGATCATCCTTCACAGCTGGTACAGTGTACGTATAACAGCCATTGACTATTACATTTGGTCGAAACATAACAGAAGCAAATATTATAGGTCTAATTCTATCAGAAAGCATCTTCGAACACCTTGAATGAGAGTTTGGCATGACAAAAATCATATTGCTGTAGGAGATTGATTTCATCAGTTATCAACTCATTTCTCCCATTCTTTGTGTAATGTTTCTGATACTAATCTGTTATGTAAGAATAAAAATAAAATGTAATATAACATAATTACTTCTATACCAAATCCATGTAATGTTTCATGTAATAAAGCCCAATGTAAATCAATTTCACATTCATTTGTTTCTTCAATACACGAATATATTATTGGATCATAAACAAAATCATTCGAAACAAGAAATTCTTGTTGCATGTTAAATTTAATTGTTGATATTGCTCTATCATTTTCTGCCAGATGTATTCCACCATGAGCACGATATCGACTTTGTCTCGTTATTTCAGCTGAATAGATGTAAAGCATGTCTAATATTTGAACATTATCGATAGTTGCTTCTGGAACATCATCCAGCGGACATTTGGAGTAATCAAAAAAATTAAAATGAAAATTCGCTTCACCTGGATCAACTGCTTCTTGTATGGTTATATCGTTATCTATAACTGTATTAATTTCTTGAATAACATAATTTATAGATTGATGAATGTAACTTGTATTGATTCTATTTGGATAAAAATTTGCAATCCAATAAACAAATTCTTGTGGTCGATTTATATAACGCCAATCATCTTTATAATTAACAAATTCAGGAAATAGAACAAAACGCTTTTTTCTCGCTTGTTCAGTTTTATTATATTGAATAACTTGATCAACAGCAGTACTTTGCTGAGAACATTTTACTTGATAATCTGATGTTTGTCTTTTAAAACGTTTTGAAAAATTTCTATTTGAATAAGTTGATTTATTAATAATAAATAAAATAGAAAAGTAAATAAGAAGATCAACAGAAGATTTGAATAACATTTTTTTTTAATGAAATTTTTTGGTTTCCATAGATATTTTCTTTTTTAGTTATGAAATTTGGTAAAAAACTTAAGGATTTATCAAATGCTAAAACAATTGAACCTCAAGTTATAACGGGTATTAATCGTCTTGTTTGTACGTCAAAATCACATAATGTGGAATTAAAAGGTAAATATTATATTTATAATTAAATCATAAATGAAAGTTTATATTTTAGTAAATGTTGATGGACAAGAATGGAGTAATGTTAAATTCTTCCAAATCTCATCACAATGGCATACACACATCAAATATTTTCCTTTGGCAATATTTAATGAATTACGCAATGTTTAACTTCTTATTATTTGTAGACTCTAGTCATTAAAATTATAATAAAAATTTTTGTCTTCTAATCTTGCAATATTTTACTGTAATAACCGTATATTTCTCTAGATTATATAGATGTGAAGGTTCATTTTTTTTTCTTTCTTTATTTTGGATGGCTTATAAAACTTAGTCGTTTTTCTTTGTTTTCTTTTTGAGCTTTAAAGTTTATTTGTGTGCCTTGTAAATTCTTGTAATTAAAAGCAGAATAATACTATATTGTTTGCAACTTTTACTTTATCGTCTTCTTCTTTTTCAGATCTATATTGTGTTGTTGTGTAGTAAATTTACCTTCATAATGAGTATGTAACTAATCGGTATTGATACAGTAAGTTTTATTATGTTGTTTATAATGGATTTAAGAATTGAAATAATATTATAAACATCTATTTCGTTGAATACATTTTCGAATAATGAGAAATAATAATTATTATTGTGCTTAAAATACTAATTTAAGAACATAATTATTTCAGTGTTTTTTTTTACTTATTCTTTTTTTTGTCTTTTTCTTTTATTCGACATTTATCAATTTCTTCTATTTCTCTTGTATTCTACCTTTCAATGATTTCTGCATTTTATTGTTTTCATTCAAGCATGTGGCAGGAAATGACCAATTAATTTCCGTTATAAATAAAAGCTAAATTATAAAGGGTACTAATGACTATTTCCGTCATCCATTATGAAATATTTCTTTAAATTATTGTATTCATTCATTTATCAACGATCTATTTAGTTATAAAAATCTATTCAATATATATCGATATGTTACATCATAAGATTCAAAACCAAACATATAATGCAACAATCAAGTCATTTTTTCTATAGAGAGCTATCATGAATATCTGAAAAATTTGACCCAGCGTCGAACTGATATTTGCAGAACTATTGTTGATATAGTTTATAGTGATTTAGGAATGGACCCAATGGTAGGTGATGATATGACTTTTAAATGTATGTCATATCGAACTTAACATATTTACCAAAGTTATAACATTGTAAGAAAATTTATTGAAGTTGTTTTGATTAAGTTAAACAATTAAAAATCATATATTTGAATGGTATCATCATAATAATAGTTCAAGTAAATATTTACGAGAAAATCTCTCCAGATATCAAATCTTTTTTCAATCAAAACGAATTTCCTTTGACAAATGCTAGAGTTTAATATAAAAGTCTAGAATGGTTTGGCTTTCTGCACCTTCGTTCTCAATATATCAAAATTTTACTGAGTTTTTTCAACAAAAAGCTGTCGTTACGTCGGAAATCGACTTTCAATTTTAAACTTAGTACAAACAAAGTTCTCAATGAAATTAGTTGATTGTGTAGAAAATGAGAAGAAGCTAACCTTCGAATTTCAATCTCATGTTTCTGCTTTCATAATTCGATAAACTCGAAGTTTTCCTGCAGAAGCTGATGCTGTCTTATTCACTAAAATATTTCGCTGGATAGTAACATAATGAAGTATATAATATCAATATCCGAACATTTTATGTAGAACTTTTTCCAACTAAATGTCTCAACAATACATAAGATTTGACACAGGAGATTTTCTACATTGTTTCTTTTATTCTTTGATATTCTTTATACAAACTCATATTGTTTTTGAAAATCGAGTGTTGTCTCTTCGAGACCTACACACTCATGAGCAGAAGTTGGAGTCAATCTTGACTTCGACTTTTCCCTATCTTGGTAAAATCTTGAGGTGATGTGAATCCAGTCTTCAAAATAGATCAGTCTTTGCAATGAATATCAAAGAATAAAATTCACAATTTAAAAAACCTGTAGTGTTCAACCTAATCTATTAGTAGGCAATTCAGAGAGTTCCGATCACTCCCAAAAAATGACTCTGACTCAGATCTCTAACACATACGCAAGGCAATATTTTAGTTTTGTAATTCTTTCTCATAGAGAATAAAAATTAGAAAATCGTCTTTTTTTTTCGTTTTAATGAATAATGATTAAATATAGTTCGATTTTTTTGTTGAAGATTTTCTTTGTACTTTTGATTCATGATGGGAAGTTCGATAATATATTTCTTGATTTTTATGCTTTTAACTTTCTTGAATGAAATTAATGGTCAACAAATGCAACTTATAGCTGGTCATGTTGTAAGTTAGTCATTTGAAAAACGTAAAAAGGAAATTACCTCGAAAATATTTTAGATTTACAGACATGGAGATCGAACGCCTGTCGAGACATTTCCAACAGATCCAGTAAAACCAAATGAATGGCCTAATGGGTATATTATTTTGAAAAACTTCTCTATATTTATTAAATTGTTTTAATTTATTCTAGTTTAGGTCAATTGACAGCCGCCGGTATTGAACAACAACATCGTCTTGGTGGATATCTTCGTACTCGTTATGGATCATTACTTAGTCCAAATTATACAGCAAATGAAATTGTTGTTCGTTCAACAGATGCTGATCGAACATTAATGTCAGCTCAATCGAACCTGGTCGGTCTTTATCCAGTACTTAATATGACTAATGATAAAGTTCCAATACAACCAATTCCAATACATACAGTATCATTTAATCTAGATTTTGTATGGCATATTTTAAATAACAAAAATAAAAATAAAAAAAAACAAACCAATTCTTTTAGTTACTTAGTATGAATGATTGTCCAAGATATGATCAAATTGAAGAAGAAGTTGATCAAAGTGATGAAGTGAAAAAAGTCGATGAATATTATGGAGTAACATTATTTTCTTATCAATTTTAATATTTATTTATTTATTTATCTATAGGCGTTTTTTAAAAAACTTGAAGAATGGACAAATACAACTAATATAACAGTATACAATGCTTGGAATATAGCTGATACAATTTTTGTCGAAGTAAAAAATAAGAAAAATAATTAAATAGATTTATTTCGATAAATAACTCGTCTTTCTTAGCATATTTATAATAAAGCTCCAGAATGGGCAGATGAAGCTGTTCGAAAAAATTTATCTGATATTAGTGATCTTGCATTTCATTTTCTTTATGAAAATAAGGATATAAAACGAATTCGGGGAGGTTCGGATAATTATAAATCAATGTTATATGAAAGAAACAGATTTATTTATTTAGGTCCATTAGTACAAGATATTTGGTTAAATATGAATAGTTCAGTACATGGAAAAGGTTTTCCCAAAGTTAAAATGTATTCAGCTGTAAGTCATTAAAATATTATTGGTTTTTTTGTTCTTAATTGATAATATTCTATTTATATAGCATGACACAACTGTCAGTCCAGTTCTTTCCTTTCTTGGTATTAATTATCCTCATCAACCACAAGTAAAACTAAAAACATTAATTTTACCTATGCTTAAATATGAATTTTTTTTCTATTTAGTATGCATCAGCTATATTCATTGATCTTTATCGACAAGGTAAGATTTTTTATTATTATTTAAATTTACAAAAAAAATAATTCTCTTGAAAAATAGATTCAGCATATTTTGTTAAAATTGAATATTTAAATGTAACAGATTCAAATACATCTTATGCATATTTATTAGATGATTGCCCAGCAATTAATTGTCCATTTGATAAATTTACAAGTATTTTTCAACCACGTTTTCCAGCTACTGCGGATATTGAATGCGCAAAAAAAGATCCACCTATGCCACCTTCAAGTAATTATAAAAACTTTGTTATATGAAATTTATTTCATATTTTCTATTTAGCTGATAGTAATAAAAAATTAATAACAGTTCTTGTTCTTGTTATTGTTGCTGTTGTTATTATTATATTCGTGATGTTTTTGTGTCTTCATTTACGAAAAACCAATCGTTATCCACCTCTGTTAGAAATTGATCGAACATTACAAACAGCTTAATTTCCATTGTGAACGCAAATAAGTGCAATATGAACTTTATTTTTTATCGTCTAAAGGAAAAAGGGGATATTTCTTTTTTATAGTTCAAATGATTTTTTTTTCTTGGATTATTGACAGCTTATTTTTTTATGGTGATTTTCTTAAAATAAATAAACGATTATAGAACAATTCAAAGTTTTCACAAAGAATTGACACTAGAGATGCAACAAGTCTAAAATAGATTTAAGATTTGGTATTTGGTTGTGAAGCATGGATTTCCTCTTAGACCAAGTCTATATAAATAATTTTCTATCTGATAATCGTTATCGAATCTCAAATTGTTTTTGCGCAAAAGCAAATCCAAATCGGAAGATCTTTTTCTGGATGCGTTATACCCTAGTAAAATTGAGCGTTGTTGATGATTCCTTACTTTACCAAGTCCAAATCTGAATTGAAATCAAATTTAATGTCAAATTCAAACTATAGAATATTAAATACTAAGGCTTTATGTTTGTTGCACTCGTAATTAGAGTGGAAAATATAAGCAAGACGAAAATTTTCATTCAATTAATTAGATTTTTTCATTTTTGCTATCATAGGTATTCGTTTTGATTTTTTTAAAAACTTTTCGATTGTTAATGTTGGCAAACTTCATGAAATTTTCTAAAGAAAAATGTTGGCATACATTGTAAAACTGCCGAATTCTATTGGATTAATTTCATTTAACAAGACTGACATTTAAATTGTTTTTATTTTTGATTCAAAAGTCACAGCAGTGTTATAGTCAAAAAAATCAATTGGCTAGATAGAACATTTTATAAGTTTGACACAAAAGATTCGAGTCAAAGATGAAGAAACATTAGATATGAGCAAGATGGTTCCGATTCCGGCGGGACCGGGATCAAATTATTTTCTGACTGGGACAAAAAACGATTGGTTCCGCTCATCACTAATCAGCATATATTTGAAAAAATACATACAAGTATTCGTAATTGAATTTTCAACTCAAGTAGAATAAATTACAAAGAGAGTGTACGTCGATCAGATTGGAAAAACCCATGTTTTGTATTATGAAAAATTTCATTACGATTATCTTTCATTGGAAAATTTTATAAGAAGACAATTGTATATATCGCACAGTCATCAATCAGAATTAGAAAACTATGATGTTAAACATTCCAATCTAAACACTCGTTGACATGTCATAAAATATGAACTATCTAATGGATAGTTGTCAATGATAAGGCATGATTGAGAGTTATTTAATTTTCTCTTATTATGATATACCTCAATAAAAGAAACCTACTTATTTTGAAAATTATACTTTACTCAATAATATATTTGACTTCATAAGATTCAGTTCAAGTAAATATCTTGTCATATATATTATACAGAGATTCAAATGACATGAGTGTTCGTTCAAGATTAGAATAAATTTATAGACGAATAAGTCTATCGCACTCTTAACGCTATCTGTCATTTTCTATTCAATAGTATTAAACTTTGATGAGTAAAGAATATATATATATTCATGACAATGATATTATTTTTCTAATGCAAACACAACTTGAATACCGTCAAATGTTAAAATTACCATCACGATTTGCTATCGTTTGCATATCTATTATCAATGTTTGAACCACTTGTTAAATCATGGTTTTTTTTTTACTTGTGAATATTTCATGTCAAAAACAACTGTATATTTATCTTCTTCTATAAAGAATTTTATCGAATCACTCCATAGACAACAATAAAACTCTTATAAAGATAATAAATAAATCATCAATGATTTAGCTTCAACAAATCAGTTAGCTGTCATGAAGACAGTTGACTTCTGCTTGATTGAGCAGAGATCTTGTTTATTCTTCAATGCGCGGAGAAGAGAAAATGACAGCGGCAAAAAAGAAAAAAAAGAAATGCGACAAAAAAAGAAGAAGCCGAAGAAGCAATCACACACTATTTGCAGATAATTCAATTTTAGGCGAGGGTAAGGGACAAAAAAAAACGTAGTGAGAACGAACCGGTTGAGAAAACAAAAAATAGAATAATAGAAAAGCCATCATCATAAGTGAAAAAAAACAAGAAATTACATAAACATAGATATAGGGACGAAAAAGAAAAGACGAAGAATACTTGAAGAACTTTATTGTCTGCTCGATTCTTAATATAATAAACTTATTTTCTCTTATCTCTAACCATTGAAATATAAACTCTACCTTTGCTAGTCTATGTTACTAATCATACACAGTATAACATCGGCAGAGAGAAGAAAAAAAAACAGAAACAACACGAACAACGCTAGATCGATCGTTCTAATTTTATTGTCTTCTTTCTTATTTATCTTGGAAAAAAGGAACACGCAAAAAAAAAAAAAAAGAAAAAACCAACCAAACAAACACTCGTGCTCAAAGAAAGCACGGTCATCATATACAAAATCAAGGTCCGAAACAAACAACAAGGAACGCGCATGTCGCCGAACAAAGATGCTTGTGAATGAAAACGAAAGAGAGCGAGCAAAAAAAGGCAACAAACAGATAAAAAATAATATGTAATAGTATAGTTTTCCAAAAAAAAAAAGAAAAAAAGCAGTGTGACGTAAATAGAGGAAGACAAATGACACACAAAGGAATGTAGAAAAAAAAGAAAAGAACACATTTTAACACACAAAAAGTGACAATGGACAAATTCGATGATAATGAAAAGAAAAACGAATTTTTATTTATTTTTTTTGTTTTATTTTTATGTTCTTCTGTTGAATAAAATATTCATCTTTATTTGTTTGTATTTTTTTCAGAAATGAATTTAAACAGGGCTTTGCACTGTAATCAGATGATAATACACATAGAGAGAAAACATATACGCATACGAGAAAAAAGAAGATAATGATGATCACGAAAACGGTGGGATTAGAGAATAGCAGGCATGCATAAATGAACAAAGAAAACAAAAACCGAAAAAAATGTACATTCGACTTGATGATGTCTAAATAATTAATAATTATTTATTTAGAAAAGTAATTTTTCTATATATTTTTGTTTATTACCGATTGAAAAAAAGAAAGAAAGAACATTTTTTAAAGACCATGAAATCCATTGGTATAAGGTGATGTCAATAGTGATGCCTAGAGAATAGATAAGAAATTATTTTTATTTAATTAGGAAATTTTATTTTGTTTACAGCTATAGGTAATCCTGGCGTTGGGCTTGTTGGTTGTAAATATTGTGCTGTAAGGTGATCTGCTTGAAAAAAATCAAGTCCATTCCCACCTAAAATAATTTACTTAATTAATTAACTATATATTTTTTGTCTTCTAAAATAATCTTACTTCTTTGTAATAATGAATCACGATGCATTTGACCAGCAGCCCCTGGCATTGGTTGTGGTGTTAATGGATATTCAAAATAACGTTGTTCACCAGCTGGTGTTAATGTTGGTGTTTGAAGTCCAACAGCAGCAGGAATATAACTTATTTGGGCAGATGGTAAACCTAAGAGAAAAAAAAATCGCGTTTTATTCTATTTTTTCATGCAAGTACAACAAAATCGATGGGATTAGAAAAAAACAAAAAGATAAAATTGACTGTCGTTAGATTACTAAATCTATGATGACTAGAAGGTATACAGAAAAAAAATTGGGAAACAGTAATGTTTACACACGGGCCAGAAAAAAAAACAGACGTCATGCCCACATGCTTCTCATTGTAAAGTGTCTCTAACCAATATATGTAAGATGCTGCTGAATTCGTGGCCCGTGTTGTTGTGAACAATAAGGTAATATCGACAGCTGATCGACTAATTAGATAATCAATATATGTAAGAATGAATAATAATAGAATTGAAAAACTACCACTTTCGTGTGTTTAACACACAGTCATCATCCATCAGTATAAGACACATTCCGTCTACAAAAGTGCCTACACAAAAATAAACCACACATATAAACTACTCTCATCTACGAGAAAATATTTAGAATAACGAGCAATATATGTATACCTAACATATTACGAACTACAATTATTTATTTAATATATATGTATTCTATCCTATCTTACTTCATACTCAATATCTACGAATAGATAATAACACATACGGATAATTTAATTTTTTTTTTCTTTATTTATTATTATTATTATTAACTCGTTGATATTGCTGAAAAGATTGGTTTTTTATTTGCATATGGAATTTTCTTTTTTAAATCTTCTTACATACCAGGTGAAAATGGATAAATTGGTGCAGCATATGTTGTTGGAATACTTCGGTTAAGACCATATACATAAGCACCTTAAAGCAAAAAATAAAAAACAAATATATATTTTTCAAATCAAATAAAGATTTTTTTTTCTTATTTACTAAGTATATCACCATAGGCACCACGTTGTAATGCTGCTTTGCCTTTAGCCATTTGTTGAGCATACATAACTTCTTTAGGTTGAGCTTTTTTACATTCCACCTTAAGAATAATAAATAATTTTTTCTTTTCTTTTATCAATTAAATATTTACCATTTTATTGTTTATTTCATGAAAATGAATGGCACATACTTTATCAACAACATCTTCAGATTCCCAAGTAACAAAACCAAAACCTAATTAACATGAGAAAAAAAAGAAATAAACTCTGCTTAAAAAAACACATAATTCATACCTCGATGACGTGCAGTTTGTTTATCAATCATTAACATAGCATCTTCTACCTGAAGGTAAGAAAAGTAAAAGATTAGAGATTTTATATATATATTCTAATTAATAGTTCTTTTGTTTATATTTACTTTGCCATATTGTTCAAAATATTTTTTTACATCTTCAACAGTTGTATTGGCTGAAAGTCCACCGACAAAGATTTTTTTTGTTCGTGTCACCATCTTAAGAAGGAAATACGTAATATTGAATGAAAAGAAAAGAATGGATGATTGCTCCCACACACATACGCACATACGCTATTTACTTGAGGATTTACGGATCTCACATGTAGGTGTCTCTTCATCATCTTCTCTATTCTTACGGTGTGTTACTTAATATAGGCA